ACGAATTCAATGAATTATATCAGACACTAAAAAACTAAAATTTGTAAAAAATAACCTCAAAGTTATAAATATTTTGAAAAAACTCCTTCGAAAATTAAAAAACACAGAAAACCCTAAAATTTAATAACTTATAACCAATACATATCAAATCTCAAAATTATACGAGTTTGAGAAAATCTTTCCATGGTCAATATTACCCTTGACTATTTGAATATTTTATTTAAATTTAAATTATTATAATCATAATTATATCATATCCTAATCATATGTGGACTACTTACAGGTCAATAATTTAAAAATTAATAAGTTATAATATACGAAGATTGCAAAAAACCCCTAAAAAGTTTCAAAATTTTACAAAACACACTTAAAAGTATAAAATTACACAAAACATCTAGACGTTTCAAAACTTAAAACAACAAACATGAAACCCTCAATATTTTAAAAACTATAAAAACACCCTTAAAAATTCAAAATAATAAAAAAACACTATGAAATTCTGAAATTTCAAAACTTGCGAACAATAAAGACGAATTCAAGGAATTACTATCAAACACTAAAAAAAACTAAAATTTATAAAAAAATAACCTCAAAGTTATAAAAATTCTGAAAAACTCCTTCTAAAATTAAAAAACGCACAAAACCTTAAAATTTAATAACTTATACCAATACATATCAAATCTCAAAATTATCAGCAGACCGCTAAAATTTTAAATTTTACAACAAACAATCTAAAGTTTCAATAATTGTAAAAAATACCTTCAGAATTCAGAGTTGCAAGAAATATTTTAACATTAAAAAACTTACTACCAACACATGAAACATGAAAATTACAAGCACTCAACTTAAAATTTAAATTTAACATTAAAAAACTTACTACCAACACATGAAACATGAAAATTACAAGCACTCAACTTAAAATTTAAATTTTTTAAAAAACACTCTCAAAAACTTACTACCAACACATGAAACATGAAAATTACAAGCACTCAACTTAAAATTTAAATTTTTTAAAAAACACTCTCAAAGTTTCAAAAATTTCAAAACACACCCTTAAAAATTCAAAATCATGAAAAAACGACTAAAATTTCAAAATATAGCAAAAAAAGAGAGTAGTTGTTTGATATTCTTTCATTAAGATATGTAAATTTAACTTTTATTTTAAGGTTTTACTATCCTTTTTGGCATCTAAAAGTAGTCTAATTTTATCAAAAAAGATAAATGTGGAGAATGATTGATAACGTCTAAAGAAAAAATAAAACAGAAGGAATGAAAGGCATTATTTTCTGAATATTTTATAGAATAGGTTTTTTGGAGTAAATTAGGAATTTTTGGAAGGGATTTTCATAAACTTTTTTTAGTACTTTTATATGTTTATGTGGAGGTTTTCATTATATAAAAGTATACTATATTTAGTATTATCTTTATTTTATAATTTTTTAAAGTCTATCAAGGATTAGGAACAAACTTCATATTATTTTTTGTGTCATTTTAGCCCACTTTTAACCAATCATCTTGTCTTATGAGCTTTAATTATTCATTTTCCTTTTAGAACGCTATTTTTTGAAGTGTTTTTTACTTTTACAATGCTATATTTTCTCAGGTCAAGCTTGGTTTCATGTTGGTCTCAATGACATGATAATTCAAATTGATTTCGGATTATATTTATTTCCTATCAATTCAATTATCAATATAAAATTTAAATAGGGTGTAGTTCATTTAAACGAATATTAAAGAAAATAAATAATCACAATGCTAAAGTTTAGAGATATAAGATATATATATATATATATATATGTTTCGTACCAAGCATAAGTTTTTATGCTTGGTAGTGAGGTGACACATTCCCCTCCACTCATTAAAATCGGGACCCACATTCACATGAGTTAGGAAGTGGTTGGGAATTTGAATGAGTGGATGTGAATATGACACTTCACTGCCAAGCATAAAATTTATGCTTAGTACCAAGCATACTCATTTTTCTCATATAGATATATATATATATATTCCAATTTAGGGTTTACCATCCCCTTTCAACATCTAAAAATAGTTTAACTCAATGCTGATAATATATATTCCAATTTAGGATTTACTATCCATTTTAGCATCTAAAAATAGTCTAAGTTGATTCTGGTTATAAAAAAGCAATGAGAGTTGATAAAAAGCATTCGGTTAAAGAATAAAAATTTGAAAAATATATGTTAGTTTAAAAATTATCGTCAGTATATAAATTGAAGTAACTATGTATAATTTTACTAATAAGTTGAAGCAGCAAAAATACATAAGTAACATTAATTAATAGAAGATTAAATCCATACGACTGATAGAAGGCTATAATATAGTAGATTAGCATTAATTGATTATAATTTAGAAAACATTAACCTCTAATATTAATAATATTTATAAGGTAAAAGAATATGAGGAATTACATATGGAGAAATAATCATAATGTTCAGAGATATCCTTTAAAAAATCAAGCTATAAATGGGAAAGTGAAGGAAATAAATCTAAAATTTGAAAAACTATTTTATCCAGATAAAGTTTTATCATCGATACAAATTATCTTAATTTTTTATGATATTTAAATTCTTATCCTATAAGGAGTTATAGTGGATTTAGATAAGATTATATCTAGATAGTTTTCGTGATGAATGGAAATTGTCTTTAAGAAGTTTTATCTTTTAAGAATTCTAGTTATTATAGAAGGGTCCCAGCCTAGCCTATAAATACAACCATAGTTCCTCCATTAGATTTAGGCTTTTCGGTAAGGCATAAGCTAGAAACTCTTTCTATTTTTCTTTATTTTATTTATTCTAACAGTAATCTAACTTTTGTTCATTGTTTATGTATATACTCAGATTATCTCTACCTTCGATTTAATTTTCTGAGTTACAGATCTATCTAGACAACAATGACTGGAGGTATATTTTAATTTAATTTATTTTTGTTGTGTGGTTTGTATTTATTTAGATTATAATTTCTTATAAAAATGTTCATGAATCACTTGAATTGACATTAACATAGGTCATACCTATCAAAGAAGCACCGACTGAGCTCCATTGAAGAATAATTTAACAACTTTATCTTAATCAAAGAAGAATTCTCCATGGAAGATACAAGAAACATCCATACGTACCTATAAAGTTCATATTTTGTTCTTCAAATACTTAAATAAAATAAAATAATAGTATTATAATTTGAGGCAAATTGGTAATGACAAATGCAGATATTTAGTTCAAATCCTTGTGAAAAATAATAGGAATAGAGCAAAGCTAACATTATTGACATAATGAAAACTTTTATTGGATAAACATTAGAAGAATTCATTATAGAGAAAAAGGTAACTCCTAATCTTATTTAAGTAATAAATTAGGAAAATAAAAAATTTCATATATATAAATTAACATTTATTCTCATTGAAATAGGGAAAAAATTCAAAGTCTGTATTTTAAGAAGCATGTGTTGAACATCAGAAATACATTCAACTTCTTTATGAAGTTAACCAAGAAGATAAAAAGATTAACGAGCCCAGAAAAGATAACAAAAAAACTGACTCTGATGTCACAATTGATGTAGATGATGAAGACATTACTCTAGAATTACACAGGAAAAAGATAAAAGCGAAGAATGATTGATCTAGCTCAATAAAAAAAAATTAAAATAAGAGTAAAAAGACATATTTTTGAATATTTTATAGAATAGTTTAATTGTTTTGAGTGAAATTAGGAATCTTTAAAAGTTATTTACATGAACAATTTTTAGTACTTTATTATACTTATGTGGATGCTTTTATCATATAAAAGTATAGTGGAGCTAGCACTAATTTTTAGTTTATTATTTTTTATGAAGTCTATCAATGATTAGAAACAAACTTCATACTCTCTTTTGTATCATTTTAGCATATCTTTAATCAATCATCTTGCCTTATTGGATTTAAGTATTCACTTTCTTTATATAACACTATTTTAATGTTTTTCACTTTTGTAACACTATACTTTTTTAGTAAAGCTTAGTTTCGTGTCGGTCCTAATTAATATGAAAATTCATATTAGCTTTAGATTATATTTGTTTCTTATCAATTCAATTATTAACATAAAAATTTAAATTGGGTGTAACACATTCAAATAAACATCAAAGAAAATAAATAATCACAATGTTAAAGTTTAAAGATAAAAGTGAGTAAAAACTATTAAAGTGGAACCGAGAAATAAATTTTAGTTAGGAAATAAGCTAAAAATATTTAATCATGATGTTTCGCCACTTGCATGTGTATAAAACCTAGTTATATTAGAGATTTTTGCACCATGCAGGAGGTTCTAAATCCTCCCACTCTTGAAACAATAGAGGGGCATTTAGGTCATTTCATTATCCCCTTTGTGGCTCACAGAACCCGATCCCTATTCCCTTCGATGTTTAAAAGGGTTAATTAGTACTAGTCCCTTAAGCCATCCATGATTACAATTTAGTCCCTCAAATCTCAACATTTGCTCATAGATCCTCATGTCAGTTGTTTTATTGCAAATTTATCCATTTGTTAGTTTTTTTGTTATTTTCTCTAACCATGATTGAGTTAACCCTTAACCTAACATCTGCAATACCTAAATATCTCCTATAGTATATGTTTTGCTCAACCTAAGTTCAGATGATTATGTGAGGTTAGAAGGAATATTGTCGTGGAAAGAGTTCTGAAATGAGTTTGGTAGTGTCAGTTTTAGCATAAGGTTATGGGTTAAAATCCCTAAGCAATGAGTGAATGCATTTTAAATGAAAGTGTTACGGGTAATCCCTCTCATCCTATTAAAGATAACAGAACATTCGCTTTGAAACCCACATTACTAAACTTAGGAGGATGAAATTGCAAGAAACGTATAGAATTGAGAGACTAATGAGTAAATACTGAGATTTTACAGATTTGTAATTATGGGTGACTTAAGGGAAAAATATGCAATCAACCCTTTTTTAAATCCCAGAGACACGTGGAGGGTTAAATTGCCAAAAAAAAAGGATCGAAAAGAGATTACTACAGAGAGTGCTTCTTCTCCCAATTCCAGCGACGATCCCCGCCGCCGGGGCGATAGTTCGAAGCATCAATAAATTAAATTCGCCGAATTATTTACAGTAGCTGCCGAATAAAACGATTCTGCGAATGCCCATCTCCCGATAAAATGGTGAGTTCTTCGAAATATTGTGCTATTAATTCTCTTACCATGCTCACGTTTCATCACTTGGCGTGATAATTGCGTTCTAGTCAAAGTTTTATGATGCGAAGATAGTTTATTTTTAGGGTTTTTTTATTACATCAGAAACCTTTAGAAATTTATTCATAAGCCCAAAGAAACAAAAATTTCCAAAGGGGTTCCCTATATTTCTAGTAAAAATTGTAAAATTTAGCATCCGTGATCATTGGAAGATGATAATTTGTGAAAAAAGTAATGCGGAATGCGTAAAGAAGCAAACTTTTTAAGATATTTTTCCTAAATTTCTAATTGATTTGCAACTTTAGCTTATATAATCACTGGAAGGTGCTAATTAGTGAAGTAAGATCGACAGTATAAAGGCCGAATAAATGATTAGGGATAAAAGCAGACAATCCTAAGTTTGAAGATTAACATTATGCCTTAAATTATAATTACTTTTTTAAAAACATTATTCACTTTTTTTTTTAATTTTTTTAGGTGACACCGTTTATAGCAGGGATGACATTAGCTGCTGCTGCTCTTGCTGGTAGATACAGTATCCAAGCATGGCAGGCTTACAAGGCACGGCCGATTGTTCCTCGGATGCGCAGATTTTATGAAGGAGGATTTCAAAGTACTATGACGAGAAGAGAAGCTGCTCTCATTCTCGGTGTTCGGTGAGAATATCTTCTATAGTAGTGTTTGACAAAAAATTTCTTACATATTTAACTGCTAGTTGAGAGATTATCTACAGAAATTATGTACATTTTTACAGTATTTCCATTTTTTTGAATGGTGTATACACTCCATTGCAAGCCTCATGAGCATGTTCTTATGATTGATCTGTGTTATAGAGTAGATAATTTTTGTGGAGAGGAATGTGAGTTCATATTTGAGTAAGCAATTGTAACCACCAATTCTCACAACAAACTCAGAGTTCCTTGTGGTGAACGTTGTTCCTCTACATACTGTAGCTTCCCTGAAATAGTAGAGCAAGATGTGTGTCTTCATTCATTATAGTTAGTTTGTTGCTAGTTGTAGTTTAGGTTGTGTTTTCTCATATATTTAGCATATTATCGTCTCTGGTACATCCACATCTGCTGAAATAAGGTTTGAAATATCGGTATCAATGTCGAATTTGCTTGCTTTTGTGTGTATCAATATCTGGAGGTTTGACAGTTCCAACAGACTCAGACCGGAATTGTTGGTACATGTAATATACACCAACAAGGACATGCCTTTATTCCAAAATTTTTTGTTTTAGCTACGTGAATCATATTTGTCCATTCATTTCTGTTATGTCATCTCCCCGTTAAGTTGAGCACTATCATATATCCTTTTCAGCTATTGTATCAATATCGGGATGTTTGACAGTTTGAGTAGTTTTAGTAAGGATTTGTGGCTACATCGAATATATTGGAGTTTAATTACAATTTTTTAATACATTGATTTCTTTTTTTAGTCTCCTCAGTATCGCACTGTACAATCAAAAGTTCGGGTATTTTAAACATGGATTTCATAACGTGTGGAAACACTTCTAGCTAATATCATCTTGTGTAGTCATTGACTCATTACTATCCATATTGATGGTGTGGATTGGTTTTGGTTGGGATGGATTTAGCATATGCTTAAGATCCAGTAAGGCACGGTAGGTACATACTAATGCCTGTTCACACTTGAAACCTTGGTCAGAATTAACTAATATGAAAATAGTATTTGAAGGCTTTTAATCTTGTATGTTGTAAGTAAAGGCAATTTAACTTTTTCTTACGATTGCTAATTGATGTTCATGTCTGCTATCTATGTTTGAAGGGGATTGTTTTGCTTAGCTTCTATAAAATGTTGAAAAATCAAAATACTGTTGAGAGACTATTTATCCAGAGGAATTGGAGTGAAGGCAAGTGAAGATCTGTTATTTTTCTTGTTTTGTTGGTACTTTTAGACAAGGACTAGCATGTTCTTACATGCTACATGTTTATGATGGACAAATTTTCCTTGTTAATGAGATGTGGATTTCCATGCAACTTCTCGTAATTCCTCTATGTCAAGTACTCTATCTGTTGAACAAAGCGTTCCACATTCGTTTCTAGCACCATTTACCCTGCTCCATTTTATTATGGTACCGAGAAATAAATACGTAAAGAGAGATTTGAAGAAAGTTCCTTCCTTAACCAGGGTGAATTTTTATGTACTTTTGGTACGAGTTGGGAATTGCAAATGCATTTAAGAAATTTTATTCAGATAATTGTTTTCGATGGTTGTGCTTAAGAGTTTGCTTGTTCATTGAGAAATAATGTTCTATATAGTATAGCAAATTACGTGTTATATTTCACTCATTAGAACTAGTTTGTTGCATCAGTTGCAATGTAGGGTCATTCTCATATTCTAGTATAACCAAATCTGTTGGAATAAAGTTTGAAATTTTAGTATTCAGTGGTATTAGTTTGCCTTGATTGGTATTAGTGTCACACGTTTCAGTGGTCTCAACAGTGTCAGGACGAATTTTTGGTACATGGAATATGTTGGAGTTTAATCACAAATTTTCTGTTCATTGATTTCTATTCTGTTTTCCCCAATACTACAATATAGACCAGCTTTTGGTATGTTAAAGGTCAGATCTCCTCACATATTGTTGTTACTAGTTAAAATCAGTATGTATAGTCATCATTATTCAATACCAATGGTGTAGATTGGTTGTGAGTGAATTGGATTAGCGTGCGTAAAATCTGCTAGAGTTTTTGCCAATAGGCCAATATATACCAATGGCAATCAAAATTTCAAACATTTATTAGATTCAACCAACATCAAACAAAAAATGGCCGAGGAAAGTTTTTAACAGCAATTGTAATACATATTCAAGGTGAACCTTTTTTTAAGGATTAAAAGTGATGTTCCTATCTGGTGCCTTATTATCGAAACAAATTTTTTGTGTCTAAATTCAGTCAAATGTTAAAGATTAAACTAGTGATAACTGATAAATTGACTATCTAGAGGAATTGGGGTGGAAGAGAGTAAATAATATTGGACCAACTTGGTAGCTGCTAGCAACTTGCTTAAAGTTCAAAAGAAGTTTTTTTTTTTTAAATTTTAGTTCTTCAATATTTTAGAGAGAAAGGCCTGTTATTTCTTTTTTGTGCTGATGCTTTTAAACAGGACCTGGCATGTTGGTATTTGCTGAGTATTTATGAAATGTAAACCTATTTTTTGCTTGTTATTGAGCCTTCCTATGGGAAAATATTATTTCTAGTGGATTACATAAGGGGATATCCCATTCATTCAAGGGGTATCCATCCAGAACATTTCAAGAATATTATGGATATTCCTGCAGACACATTAGTGGCTAATAGGAAATATCCTTGATCAACCCTGGATACCCTCCCATTGGCTCCAAATATTAACATGTAACCGTCTAGTAGGATACCCCTTTAAACCTACACCTTAAGGTAACCTCAACTTGGCCAGGTACCAGGGTATATCCTATACCTGGAGGTCCTCAACTTTTACTTCATGTTTTTATTTTCCCCCATCTTAACATTGTAGTTCTTGTTGTTGTTGTTTTCTGTTTGCTACCCATATTGAGAAATATTTCTTACGTCATCGGATTTCCATGTTTATTCTGTTCACATCTGTTTTTTTGTTTTCGGCTTAATTTTATTATGATATTATGAAATAAGTAGGTAAAGACATATTTGGAGAATGTTTTCCTTACCCAGATAAACCTTTTATTTGTATACTTTTAGTATGAATCAAGAATTGCAAATGCATTGAAGAAATTTTTATGCATGTAAATAGTAAATATGTAATTGTGTTTGATAACGGCTTATGGGTGAAAAAAACAAAAAAAATCACCCTCCAATTGTTTTCCTACTGGAATCAGCTTGAGCTTTGGCTATGGTCTACAACTTAGATTTAAGAAAGCTCCACAAAGCAACATTTCCCCCCCTGGATTGTACAAAGTAACAATTTATGATTGGTCATCATGCGTTTTAGCTAATGCAATCAGGCAGCCCTCTGGATCTTGCCCGTATACCATAGTAGTGCACAATTTTTGAAGAGCCTTATTTTCCTCGTTTGAACTATTAGAGTTTGCAAAACCATAATCATTGATTTTATTTTATTTTATTGGCTGGGTTGGGGTTGGATTATATGAGTTAATCTCCAGTCTTTGGATGATAAATGTAAAACAAATTATGAATTGCTCGTCCAAAGAGCCACAACAACAACAACAATACAGCCTTTGTCCCAAAATTTTGAATCTTGGTCTTTCATTCAGTTTTGTTCAAGTTTATCTACTCCATTACATTACGTCACTACTATATGGTCCAAAAGAGCTACAATTCCAATTGGCATTATGGATGCAGCTGTCATCAAAAATCTTTTAGGTTGTGATGGTTGGTTCAGGTATTTGTGCATCTGCTGTAGGTTTCATTTTGTGGGCATTGGATCCAGGTACTTCTTTAACTGTTTTAGTAGAATTTTATTTATTTATTTATTTTACCAGCATATAGGAGGACATATTTTCGAAAATAGTGGCTCTTAGTTTCTTTTTTACGGGAAGTTTTTAGATGGGACTGTGAGAATCATGTCGTAGAGTAAAGCCTTTTATTTTGTTTTTCTAATTTGATCATTTGTAAGATAACTTGTTGGAGTGTCTTAAATAGCCTTCAAATTCCTGACTAAATTTCAAGCGCCTGGACAAACATCTTGTCCTTAAGTTGTTTCCTTCTGCAACTTAGATATCTTCAAGCGCGTCTGAGTTGACGAATCTTGTTCGAATGTAAACTGTTTGAAGGCTTATTTTCAGAGGGCGAAACTTCAGTGGAGGTCCCCTATGTATTGGCAAAATATCATCTAGCTTCTTTATATTTGGAGATCGTTAGTGGGAGTCCCTAATGTCACCTCCATTATCAGCTCAGGTCCTTTCTACAAACTTCCATTAATTTTTTTACAAACTTCCGTTAAATATTGCTGACGTGTCAATGACATGGAGGGCATCAAGTCAGCAAAAAGAGTAAGTGAAGTTACATGTTTGACCTGCCACATCATTTACTCGTCATCAAGATTTAGCAAGAGTTTGTAAATAAAACCTAGATTGATGATGGAGATAACATTAGAGAACCCAGATGATATTTGAGTAGTACACGAGTAGTACATAAAGAACCCAGATGATATTTGAGTAGTACATGAGGGACCCTCCGCTAATAGTTGCCTTTCCAGAGAATCTTTTGGACTGATTCTGATTATGTTCTGGTTATGATTTCTCCATCCTTGTAAAATTCTATAAATAAATTTGTGACAACGGTTTAGGAATATCTTTGACAGAAGTTTGTGATCAACCGCGTGAGATCTCTTCTGCTGTTTTTTGAACTAATAAAAGGATCATTTGCCGTTGAACCTCGTTAAATATGTGTGTTTGTGATTGCCCATCTTTCTATCTGGCATTTGATCTCAATTTCCATCTCTTGCTTTGTGTTTTCCATACAATGATGTTCACAAGCCACTGAACATCCATTCTATCATATAGTTCTGTGCAGTTGCATATTTTTCTTTTAGGACTATCTCTGATTCGCCGCTCTTCATCTCGTTTTGAGTAGGGAGAGCGTCCCTGCCGATAAAGTTAAAGAAGCACACAAGAAGGTGATGGTGGCTAATCATCCAGATGCAGGAGGCAGCGATTACTTAGCTTCGAAGATTAACGAAGCCAAGGACATTATGCTTGGAAAGACCAAAGGTGGAGGCTCTGCCTTCTAAGTTCTAACTCATTGTTATGTATCGTTGCTTAAAATTTTGGAGTAAGCACCAATTATTTGCATCTGGTTGAAGTTTCTTACTTACGTGCACAAGCAATGTTGAAACTGATTAGTGTTATTTCTTTCGAGGGAGACGTGACACAGTTTTATCGACGACAATGGTAATGAGAGAACCATTTTGATTTTTTCTTTGGGTAAAGTCATTTTGATATTTCTGTGGATTTCAGAATTTGAGCTGCATGAAGCGAACAAAGCTGGAGCTTGTTTTTATGGCAGCTCGTTACAAAAAGAGAAATTTCAAAATTTTGGAAGTGGTCCTTGTTGTGCTTAGTTTAGTTTTGGTCGGTGGGAGGTGGAACAGACGTGGCACGGTTTAAGACATCAAATACTTAGTTTAGTTTATCCGAGATTGAATACAGACATTTTTTGACTTGTTCCACCCTCTAAAATGCTTTGCTACATACAAAAATACTTTTTTACCCCTCCACTCTTTATACGAAGGGGTGTTTATTCTGCGATCCGCAATATCAGCTTCGGGTTGGCACGTGTCACCCCACGACCACACGTGGAGTGCAAATCCCATGACACGTACCGAAGTTCGTGCTGGGACCAGTTAGAAAAACCGCAGCCAAACTCGAGAGGCATTCTCTCTTATCTCATCGATCGATCAATCAATCACCAGTTTCGTCTCCAACTCAAATACCCAAAATCATTTCATAAAAAAAAAAAAAAAATCTTTTTTTGGGGGAGAAATCTGAGTCTCAAATTAAGCGAAGGCAATGAGCACAGCAACTTTTGTGGAGGTGATACTGGCAATTCTCCTCCCTCCTGTTGGGGTCTTTCTTCGCTATGGTTGCGGTGTAAGTTTCTCCTCTCATCAACCGTAATTAAATGTCTAAAATCAAGTTACAGCGTTTTCTCAATGTTAGTCCCTCAAATTATTGAAATTGCTATTAGGTCCTCCAATTTTTACAAGTTCTTTCGAGATCGTAGTTTCCCTCTCCAAGCAATACTAGCAGTAGAAGGATACAAGAATATAAGGATGATTTGAGGGACTGATTTTAAAATATTTCTGATTAATGGAACTAGTATTAAAGAAACCCAAATTTGTATAGATTTTACGAAACAGAAAGCAAATTTATAGGAATAACAAAACACTTTACCTAGAAAATTAAAAAGGACGGTTTATCTTCTCATTTTCAATTTTTTGGTTAAATATTAATCATGTAGATGATAATTTTTAAGATATATAGCAATCATATCCATGTTCATGTGGAAGACGCTATCCTCTCATTTTCCCCAAGAAAGAAAAAAAAATGAAAAAAAGTTTAAATAGTCATGTGATTAGTAACTTTTAATTTTACAAGATCAAATTCTACTTTTCGAAGGGATCAAATTTCTATCAATCAGCAAAATCTTGGGGAGTTCCTTATAATTGACCCTTCTCAAAGTGACAAGCTTCTGTTCTAGTCTTATTCTATGTTGTAATATTCAGATCATATGATTTAATTTAATAAACTGTTTTTTTTTTATAATTTGGTGATTATGGTTGCAGCTGGAGTTTTGGATCTGTCTGCTGCTGACCTTTTTGGGATACATACCTGGGATTATCTACGCCCTGTATGTATTAGTTGGATGATCATAGTTTTTCTTTCCATGGAATGCTAGATGTATGAACGTATGTTTTGAGACATGACGTGGAGTTTAATTAATGTGAATGTATTAGTTTGCATTTAAGTTTTTTTTTTGCCTCCTTTAATTCTTTTCGACCCCTTGGATTTGGATGAACTTCACAGTTTGGTGTGTCCTCTAGTTAAGTAGTGAGGAGTAAATCACAAACTATTTGAACTTGTGTTTATTGTAGCCTATGTTGTAATTTTTTTGGGTGAGAGAATCTTGGCTTAGAGCAAGTGCATCAAGCTCCCAGTTGGGAGTCCTAGTCAGCAAGCTCTCAAGAGCTCTCAAGCATTTTGGAATAAAAAATTATAAAAATAAGCCTTTGGTGCACCTCCTTATTTTATGGAGCTCCAACAAGCTTCTAGTTAGGAGCTCCAACAATATCAAAAAAACCTCTCTTCTATAAAAAAAACTCACTTCTATTGCAAAGGTACAAAGGCCAAAGACTTTTTCGTAAAAGAAATATTTCTTTAAAGTTTGGGAGCTCCCAAGCGCTCCATAAATTTGTGGAGCGCTTGGGAGCTCCGTGACACAAAGCCCTAGGTTTTGTGCCACGAAAGCTCTCAGAGCTCCCTTAGGAGCTTGCTGGAGCAAGTCCAACAAGCTCCCACCGCCACCTCAGCCTTAGGAGGTGCGGTGGGAGCTTGATGGACTTGCTCTTAGTATTAAGCAAGTAAACTCCTAGATCGGGGGCCACCCTTTGGTGTCATGTCAATATTGATACAAGCATCACGATGCCTAATAATTATCCACTTTTTAATTTATCGACAATAAAGTATTATTTAATTATATTGATTTAAAGCGTTTTAATTGTTAAAATTAAAATGGTTTAGGTTTGACCAAAAAGTTTGGTCTAACAAATTCAATAAATCAATTGAAGTCTGGTTCAATTATTTACCTAAATCGAGACCAAAAAGTTTGGTCTAACAAATTCAATAAATCAATTGAAGTCTGGTTCAATTATTTACCTAAATCGGTTCTCATCTCAAACTAAATTTCGCTAGTTTAAACTAAAGCTAGTTTAGAACTAATATATGACTTATCTTTAATTTGTTTCAAGTTTGAGTTAGTTCTCATAATATTTTTGGAACTATACATAATCTAAATTATTTCAGACTAGCCCATCTTAGAATTCTTCATATTTAAAATTTTGATTGTTTTTAATGGATATCAAAGCGATTTGTATGAGGGAAAAAATCCAGTTAAATTTTGTTTGGTTGTACATGCATTTTGTTGAGGATATATGTAAGAACATAAATTAAGGTGAAATCATCACATGTTTAGGGAATCATATTTAATGCAAGCTATAACATTAAAAACAACAAACAAACATTATGTTTAATAAAAATCTAGGATTTTAAGCTTGTGGGTCCCAAATTTCAATGTAAAATTCGCTGAGGCCTGTTTGTTTTCATGAAAATAATTATGAAGTAGCTAAAGTAGAGAGGGTAGATGTTACTTCTGTTACTTCCGAGCAAAATAGCATGTTTATTTTTTTTAAAAACATACTCTCAATATTTATTTAAATGCTGATGTGACGCTTATGTGTCATTTCTACTTCCGAAATGTTTTTTCACTCATCATCGCTCGGAAGTAGCCCGAAAGTAGGTGAAATATGCATTAAGTAGGAAATAAATAAATTTTCTTATCAATATTTCCTTTATTAATTATTTCCTAATAACTTTTCATTGTCATCCTTAACGGAGAATAAGAAATATCATTTCCACTACCTTAAAAATATATGCGAGACAAAAAATAAAAATATTACTTCTACTACTTTTTACTTTGTAAATTTGTAAATTATTTTTTTGATATATTTTCTAATTTCGATATTTCTATCAAACCAAATGGGCCCTAACCTGCATGGAAACAAACGGCTAGTAAAGCTGTCAAACTAAGATTATGAACTTTGATCAAAACGAATATTAACAGATTTGGTTTAGTATGGTTAGAAACTGATTCTAATTTCTATTGGAAACTCATACAGTAGATGTTAGAACAAAATTAATGACTTCGAAATTTAAAGCATTTTTAACCAAAGAGCTTCTTCTGGATTAGTTGACAAGCTGGCTTAGCTACTCGAAGAGGAGGGAAATTTTACATTGGATTAGCAAAGGATTTGACATTACGCAAATAGTTAAGGAGAAATTAATTTATTGTATTAGTATCGTTTGTTGGATTATTTACTGTTGGGAATTTAACGCCGAAACCCCTAAACAGCAAAAACGCGGAATAGAGAAAATACACCAAGATTTAACGAGGTTCGGCAACCGCCTACGTCCTCGAGAGCCTCACAGAAAAAATCTTATTAAACAACAAGAAATTACAAAGCTTGAGCCGATTTCAGTAAATACAACGGTAACATTGTAGCTACAGTGTTACTCTTTAATACCCCTTTAATTCCCTTCACCCCTCTTTAATTCCCTTCTTAATGTCTCCCCTCAATACACGATTGAGAGCTGGAGAGAAAGGGAACAGAGAGAGAAAGAGATCCGCCGCCAGGGGTTTCTGGAGATCGCGAGAGAGAGGGGAAGCAACGTTGGGGGCTAGGGTTTTGGGTTCCCTTTTATAAGGGAACTCTAAGGCTGGCGACAGGCTGTCGTCAGCCATTCGAGCTCGCCCGAAGTGAACACAAGCTCGCCTGTTCCAACCCGTTCGAGTTCGCCACCAAAACGCCCAAACTCGCCTGCACGAGTCCGCCTGGAGATCGCCAACTCGAGCTCGCCTGCAACTCTGGATCTTGAGCTCGCCTTCAGCTCGCTTGCGTCGTCCCCTCGAGCTCGCCGGAGCTCCTCGCCTGAGCTTCATCCTCGCCTGGAGAAGCTCGCCTGCAAGGTTTGGGCTTCACCCCCAATTCAACATTTACTTGATGTCAAATCATGCAAAGTCGTTTATTTCTAGTAATTTCAAGTCCCATTGTTCTAGTAATTTCCATTGTATTACTATCGTTTGACATTACGTAAGTAGTTAAGGAGGAAAATAGCTACAAGAAGACGGTCGCCGTGGCTTGGAGTATGATATTTTTTTTTTTTAAAGTTTGCTTTGTAACTTTCTTCATAATGACTACATTTTAAGAACTACTTAGTTATACTTTTGGAGTCGAGAGTATGTCCTTAACTTGCAACAACCATCTGATCATAGCCATGGAAGTCTCAAAAATAAAAAAAAATAAAAAAGGTAATTACAGAGGTTGAATAAAAAAGGTAATAAAATCAAGAAAGTAGCTTTCTCAAAAAAGAAAGTAGCTTTCCAAAATGTGACGATGTTAGATATATTGGGTAGAAACGTTTCCCAGCTGTAAACTCGGAAACGGACTGGAAACTTAATAAAAATGCAATAAAACAATATGGTCTTCCCAAGATAATTTTCGAGCAGCGCTATTTGGCTCGCGCTTTAACGCGCGAGCCAACGCGCACAGATACAGGGGGTGGGCCCCACTGACACAGTGGGGCCCACCCTCCTGTCTGTGTGCGCCGTTGGCTCGCGCGGTTTAAAAGCGCAGATGCCAACAGCTGTTTTCGATAAATTTTCTGGGATGGAAGCAAAATAAAACCATATAACATAAAACTTTCATTAATCAGTTATTTTTATTTATTTTGTTATTTTGGGATGAAATCCTAAAGAATGCTTGGAAATGAGTTCCAACATGGCTTTCCATTTTCTATTTTTTCGGGAAATGAACCAAACAATCCATAATTTAAAATTAAATTTTTTTTGGACCAATAGGGGGGGACAAGTGAGGTGTCCCCCTCCTATTGGATAATGAGTTGATCATATCACTAATGATATGATCAACTCATTATCCAATAGGAGGGGGACACCTCACTTGTCCCCCCTATTGGTCCTATATTTTGGGTCCCTTTAGCAAAGCTCTAAAACTATATCTACATCTATGAGACTTCTTTGGAACTCCCCAAAGTTTAGCGAGATTTGTGCAAAAACCCCCATATTTGAACTTGGATCAGGTCACCTCCCCTTCTTTTCCGTGAATCACCGAACAGTTGATAAATAATTCACAATTGCATGACGGTAACGATACGCGCGGTAACGTGATCTTCACTCATATGAACCCCCTGAACAACGACTAACTTCCATTAACCGCTCTCACTCCCCTCCTCGTCACTTGCAGAAACGAGGTACGGAGCTCAAATCATCTTTCCTTTTTTTTTCATTTTAATCCTCAATTTTGTAAAAACTGCACACCGTAATACCATTTCTAATCAAGAACGAAGAAAGAATTGTTAGGGTTTCTTTTAGTTCTTGTTAATATCGAGAATAAATGGTTCCAGGGTTTTGTTCTTCTAATTCTCCGTCTGAAATTGGGTAAAAAGTTATGGCTTGTTGTTCACTAACAGATTGTAGCATTTTGATCAAGAACCGAAAAGGATTTCTAGGGTTTCTTTTAAAGACGATTCAATTGGGCAAGGGGGGTTTTGTTGTTGGAGCAGAGAACATTAAAATTGATGATCCCTTTACATAGGCAAAGGGGAAAGTGAATGATTTTCTTTGTATTTATCCTCAAAATTATTTCTTATTATCAAGAATGAATGATTATAGGGCTTCTGTTAAATATGATTATAGGGCTTCTAGGGTTTGCAGGTTGTTATACTTTTTTTTTTCCGATTCATGGGCTCAAACGCTAGCGAGGCCGATGAGAATGGCCTTGAGGGCTCCAATGCACCCCCAGTCAAAACCCTAGAAGATAACAAACCGGTAACGGATGTTGGTAACGAGTCTCAAAATCAAAATGGTAATTGCAAACAAGAGGAGTTAGGGGGTTCTGTTAATGGAGTGGAGACCGTAAAGAAAGATGATTCCTTTATAGAAACAAAGGAGACAAAGTTTTACGTTGGTGATTTGGTTTGGGGCCAAGTTTCCGGTTGTGCTTGGTGGCCAGGGCAAATCTTTGATTCAAAATGTGCGTCAAAAATGGCATTGACGAATCTGGCGTATGTTCAGAGGATGAGTGGGGGGAATACTGAAGATCTTTTTTTGGTTGCATTCTTTGGTGACAGAACATTTGCTTGGCTGCCCGAGTCCCAATTGAAGCATTTACAAGAAAATTTCTCAAAGATGGTGAAGAAGAGTCGTGCAGTGTCATTTGTGAAAGGAGTTGATGAAATTCTTGAAGAAGTTTCGACGCACGTTAAGCTTGGTATGACCTGTGAATGCTTTGTGGATGAGACTTATACTGATTTAAAGAAAGAGAGAGTTGACAATTCTGGGATTAGGAGAAGAACATCGAGGCCTCCTGTTGATAGGTCCATAATTGTGAATACTTTTCAACCCAATTCTCTTCTTGAGCAACTCCGGGTTTATGCTCAGTGCCCACTTGGACAGTTCAATAGACTGGAGCTTAAAAAAACTGTAGCTCAACTGAAGGCCTTTAAACACTCAAAGAATTCGAAGGTTGAAGGTAAGCTTGTACAGGAGAAAACAGAGGAAGTTGTTGATGAAGAGTGTTCCTCCGGAGAAGAGGAAGTTGCTGATGAAGAGTATTCCTCTTCAAATGAAATGCTGGCACAACTCTGCCTGCTTGCTAGAGACCCTACGGGTGGTTACAGTTTTATTCCTAAGATTATACGTTTCTTCACTGCTTTTAGGGCTTATCGCTTATGTAGTTATTCCAAGTATCCGGATCCTTTGGGAAGAACAACAGGTAGTAAAAGAAAAGCAGCAGGCTCCAGGCCTTCCTATTCTCTAATGTATTCTGATATTGTACTCCAAGGTAAGAGGAAAGGAAGCTCTCAGAACAAGGTGCAACAGAAGAAGAAGAAGAAGACGAAGGAGAAGGCTATCGAAAAAGAGACACCAACTGGTTTTTTATTTCAATGAACCTGATGATCTCCCTTCTGCGGCTGATTTAATCGAGTTTTACAGCTCTTATGGACCTCTCATAGTGGAAAGAACTGAGGTTCAGATAGAAGAAAACTGTGCTCAAGTTGTTTTCAAATACTCTCATGATGCAGAAGAAGCTTTTCATGTCAAGAAATACACGGTGTTGCAAAATTGGTGCTTTGCCCATGAGGGAGGGCAGCTTAGAACCTCAAGGTACACCTCCTAGTCTCTTGCATGGCTTTTAATTGTTGAAATAAAATTGTCTTTTTAATTTTAATGCTCATTGTAACAGAAATTCTCTTTTATTTGCAGACGGCACTGAAGTTGCAAGTGATGCTATTACTACATTAGATGAAGCTGTTTGTAGCAGATACTTTGACTGACTAAACAAACAAAGAGGTTACACTGGTATGTTGCATTTTACATGATCAGACAAGTTCAAAGTTTTTTGTCCTATAATAGAAATGGATCTTTATGAAGAAGGTCTGCTCTTGCAAAAGCTGCCGAGTTTTATGCTGGCATTTTCTGGGCTTGATTTTTGGCTACTTTCAGTTCTGTGCGTTTGTTGAATATGTAAATACATTAAGGTCGCACACGGTGTACAGAAGTTTTGGATGTACTAACCTTAGAAGACTATCTTCTTCAGATAATGAAGTAAATACTGTTTCTCTTACGATATTTTATGGTGCTTGTTTTGTCTATTTATAGCTTCCAGAGCTCTTAGTTAATTTTCAAGTGTCCCCAAAAATCATTTATGTTCGTGAAATAGTTTTGAAATATTTCATAGACATGTTTTTCATCAGGCAATCTGTGGCATTGTCATCCAATTTTTGTCATTAGGAGTGGTTGACAGTCATTCAGAGCAACTTCAGTAGGAGATTAAACCTTTACAGTTATTGACACAGTTCTAAATTCTGGCTTTTGCTGTGTTTCAGCAAATTTGATTGCGGTATCTTATTATCTTTTACATTTTTAATCCAAAGAAAAGATTGTCATATACTTTCCTTGAATGACCTATTTGGGAGAAAACTTGTGCCGTTCATGCACAAGCACATTACTTGAAGAAATTCCTTTCGGGAACCACAGGAAAGCTGATTAAACTGTAAAGAGTGGTTGTTTATGTGTCACACTGTTGCAAATTTTCAAACCAATTGCAGGAGAGGTCGAGAGTTCAGAGGGAGGTGAGATTGAAGAGGCTAGCACTGAGCGTGCCATTGATACCACGGTAACTGAGGTCGAGGCCGCTGACGTGGCCAGATTTGGGGTCGCAAGTGACTCCCTCCCAGTCGCAGCAGTTGGAGCCAGGTTTCCACGAAACCAGGGGGCCGCGAGCTCCGAAGGGATAATAATACGTGTTGAAAGAGACACCACGAATTAAGTCGAGGAGGGAAGACCTCTCGGATGGGAGGCAGTCGACAGTATGAGCAGCAGATTTGAAGGATCGCAGCATGAGTATTACTACCAGGAATAATAGTATAGAATGGGGAAGCCGACCAGATATTGCGATGCCCATGCTAACGCTAACTAACTAATATTTAATTATTAATTTGATACCCAAAGAGAATGTGCAATTAACGGATATAAATAAAATGAATTACTGGGCACGAATTATTGGACGTGTTGGAAACGTTTGCAAGTGACAGCATGGAGAAGACTTCCACGGACGACGACGACGAAGACTTGGATTGACTTTCTGTATTGCAAGGATTGGGTAAGAGCGTAAAGGAATCAGGTAGCATTGAACACTACATGAAGCTTTGTAAGAGGCTATCTAATATTGAATTGATTAGATCATGTCTTGTGTATTTGTATGTACATAGATATAAGCTGAGGGCAGTGAACATGCTTTGAAGGAAAAGTCGTTGCTGAGCACAGAGTATTGTATACATGAGTGGGAGAAAATATTATACATATATATAGTTCCAAGGTTTGGTTATATAATACATAGTGATATCTGGAAAAAAATTATTGATTTTTTGGGTGTTTTTTTAACGATATCTGAGGAACTTAGAGTATTGATTGATTCTGGATGAGGTTTCATTATAGTTGTTGGATTACCTACTGTGAATAAGATGAATGGTGATTTGATAATGATGGTCTTTCTTCCTGAGACAACATAAAATATAAAGCAGACTTTGAGTGCATTCAGTGTTGCTTATGAAAATTGTGGTCTCAAATTCAAAAGTAATGTTTAGCTTATGAAAATAGTGGTCTCAAATTCAAAAGTAATGTTTATTTGCCAAATTTCTTGCTTTTGGTTATTAACATTATCAACTTCGAGCTTTCATCAAAATCAAAAGGCAAATATTATTGACGAGAGGATCCAAACCCAATAATGCCAACATCTAGCATTCATAAAAAATTGTCGAAGTAACATTTTAGAGCACAAAAATCACAGCGATGTCTACATTCTTTTGAAGGAAAGTATACCCATTCCAAACATCAACGATTTAAATAGTGCTAAATGATTGGGGTTTGAAAGTGGTCAACACACTTATTTTATGCGTACTGCATTATGAACAATGAATCTTCGATTAAAACACAATAGATACATTGTAGTGAGCTACAAGCCATTTTATTTATTTCTTCGTATCCAATCTAAGCTTCAGCAGCTATATTTTAAAAAACATGAAAAGCTGAAAGATAAAAAAGGGGCATTTATATTTAAAAACCATGAAAACATGAGAGATAAAAAAGGGCTCAAGAATAGCTAGATGTTGGTAGTATTTTGCCTTTTCCAAAATTTCATTTGCACATAGCGAAGCACAAAGGTCACCGCAAATCCTACTCCAAATCCCAAGCCGATTAATAGCGCAAGTACAATGATATAGGTTGACGGTGATGAATGGTCAGAGGTTGTAGGTTGCACTGCACTTGTCTGATTTGGGCTTCCGTTGTTGCATTGCTTTGATAACGGACTTCCACAGAGTCCATCGTTATCCAGGTAAGAAGCATTCGGAAATGTATAGAACTGATTACTTTGAGGAATTCTTCCCGTTAGATTGTTGCTAGAAAGGTTCAAAAAAGCTAAGAACGTGAGAGAAGTCAATTCTTGAGGAATCTGTCCAGACAAATGGTTTGCAGAAAGATCCAATCTTTCAAGTTGCTTCATGTTTCCAATTACTGAAGGAATCTTTCCTGTGAGAGAATTTCGTGATAAATTCAACATGTGAAGGCCTTGGAGTTTACCGATCGCCTCAGGAATATTACCATCAAAGTTGTTATTTGAGAAATCCACAAACGTATATGATATCGCTAATATTCTCAGAAAGGTATATTCATACCCGTTAGTTGTGACTGAAACTTCATAGTTATAACCATCTTTATCAATTATGTCATCACTTAGATTCTTAGTGGAGAAACTCATCATGGACTTTAGATTGTTGAAACAATTTGAAGGCAAATTTCCATTGAAGTGATTGGAAGATAGATCAAATATCAGCAATTTCAAAAATATGTTATTTGCCTCAGGATTTTCTGTAACTTTGACTTGCCCACGAAGTGCATTTCCTCGAAGAACTAGAACAGAGATGTTAATCATTTGTCCCAACCAAGATGGAAAACCTCCAACAATCTGATTGTTCCCAAGGTCTAAAACCTTTAGCGACCCACAATTGAGCAAAGTTCGAGTAATTGGACCTTTCAAACGATTGTCACTGAGGATCAATGACTCCAGCATGCATTCTTTACTAAAATGTCTAGGAATTTCCCCTTGAATTTTGTTCCCTTTTAGATTCAAGTCAGTAAGAGATTTGATATCGAATAGACACGAAGGGATTGAACCACTCAAACTATTTCCAGACAAGTCGAGGACTTGGAGATATTGTGCTTCACAGATGGATGATGGGATTTCTCCAGTAAGATTATCGTTCCTGAGCAGAAGATGAGTGCAGTATAAAAGATAGGAGGAAATGTTAGGCGGGATAACTGATGAGATGCTATTGTTTGAGTAATCTATGAATCTGAATGTCGTCGAAGGAAGAAAAATTGGTCCCTGAAGTGAGTTTGAATGGAGATCAAGAGCACCGATATCACCATGTTTCCAAGAGAGAATATGTGGGCCTTTGAAATGAGTGAATTTATTCATGGAGAGATTCAAATAATATCCCTCGTCTAATCCCCAAATCCATTCTGGTATTCCGCCGCTAATCTTGTTATCAGAAAGGTCCAATTGCTCGAGTTCATGTTGATATCTTAGAAACACAGGCACTTTGATGAGGTTGCATGACGCCAAGCCTAAATAATTAAGTCTGGAAAAGGTGTCGGAATAATTAACACCACTATCTTCTTGTACATATAATCTATTGTTCCGAGAGAGGTCGAGCTCTGTTAAGTTCGTGAGGTTTCTTATCATGCCGAGCTCCATCGTTCCATTAAAGTTGTTTGATGATAGGCAGAGTGACTCGAGGGCTGAGAGCTTAAACAAGGATATTGGAATCTGTCCTTGAAGTTGATTATAACTCAGATCAAGATCACCTAAGGACATGGAAGGATTTGAGAACTCTTTTAACTCACCAGAGAATTGGTTATGAGAGAGGTACAACATCTCTAAAGCAGGGTGGGTAAACAATGAGACTGGCACCGATCCAGAAAAGAAGTTGGAATATAGATCTAAGGATGTGAGATGAGTCAGATTTCCAATAAAAGTGAGGATCGGACCTGTGAAATTGTTGTTGTCAAGATCCAAGTCAGAGAGCCGGAACAAATTTCCAATCCAACTGTGCACCGCACCTGTTAATTCATTCTCCGAGAGATCTAAATGTGCGAGCTGGGTAAGATTCCCGATGGAAGATGGCATCATCCCGGTCAGACCGCATTCTGCGATAAGTAGTGTAGTCAGGTACTTGAGATTCGAAATAGAGTCTGGTATATTCCCGGATAAATTCGTCGCCCCTAAGATCAAACTTTGCAAAGCATTGTTGTTTGGAAAATCCGGCAGATTCCCAGAAAGCATCGGATTCCGGGGTAGGTGGAGATGAGTCAGGTTGGCGTGTGATGTCAAGATGTCTGTCGGCAACAATCCTACGACTCCAAGTATATAGTATATAATAAATAAGGAAATAATGCTTAATTATAAAACTAATTAAATAAACAAGTAGGCTTACCTGGGAGATTACACTCCCTCAAACTGAGCACTTGAAGGTGAGGCATCGAGGTGGACAAAGCACTTCCCCAGTCTAGGTTCGAGGACATGTCGATGCCGTCGAGATCGAGCTCCCTCAGATTGCTAAGGTTTCCAACTAGGTCTAGGTTCGAGGACATGTCGATGCCGTCGAGATCGAGCTCCCTCAGATTGCTAAGGTTTCCAACTAGCGTCCGGAAACTTGGATGGCGGAGTTGTACGTAATCGCCGCTGTAGTCGTGCTCGCTGAGGTCGTGGGTTGAGTAGATGTTGCTTAATAAGCTGAGGTCGAGGGAGATGAGGTCGGTTAAGCGAGAGATGCCGACGGGGATCTGACCACTGAATCCGGCAAGTGAGAGATTGAGACGGGTGAGTTGTGTAAGGTTCTCAAACCCCACCTGAGGAAAGTGCCCTTGAAAGAAGTTGTAGGAGAGGTCGAGAGTTCGGAGGGAGGTGAGATTGAAGAGGCTAGCACTGAGTTTACCATTGATACCACGTTGACTGAGGTCGAGGCCGCTGACGTGGCCAGATTTGGGGTCGCAAGTGACTCCCTCCCAGTCGCAGCAGTTGGAGCCAGGTTTCCATGAAACCGGGGGGCCGCGAGCTTTGGGATAATCAGGTATTTTAATGCCCATGCCGAAGGAGACACCGTGTATTATGTCGAGGAGGGAAGACCTGTCAGATGGGAGGCAGTCGACGGTAGTATTGGTATGACGAGCAGCAGCGCATGCGGACGGGATCAGCAGCAGCGACACTATTAGAAGTAGTATACAATGGACAAGTAGCCGATCAAGTATTACAATGCCCATGCTAACTAATATTTAATTAATACTTTGATACCCAAAGGTGAATGAGCAGTTAACGGATATAAATAGGAGGAGAGAAGATGAAGACAGATGAAGGAGCAGGCTGGAGCGGTCTTCCTCGCTTGCTTGGCTTGGTCAACGGGAAATTGGTAGCTAGCGATCTGGGAAGCACAAGGAAGCAGAGGAAAGAAGGCCCGCCAGAAAGAGGGGGGTTGGAGACCACGGAACGATGTACGAAAGAGACTCGTCGAAAGCTATATATATATATATATATATATCGAAGTGGGCAATAGAGTGCTGCTTCTTATGAAAAAGCCCTCGATGCTGTGTGAAAGAGCGGCGGGGAATGACTGGGCTCAGGAGTGGGGAAGACTTCCACGGACGACGACACGAAGACTTGGAAAATGCCCCCGATGCTGTGTGAATGAGCGGCGGGGAATGACTGGGCTCAGGAGTAAAGTCTAACATAGTGTGGAAAATGGGCAGATAGAGAAGGAAGGGCCAACACTGTTCATTGAAATGTATGGTACTACACAGGCAATACTATTCGTTTTTGGAGTTTTGAAAAGTAAGGTGATGTTAGCTCATGTGGTGTGTATGCCTCATTCAGAGTTTTTTTAATAGTCCAACGGACGACGACGACGAAGACTTGGAAACGTTTGCAAGTCTTTCACGGACGACGACTTGGAAATGCTAGTTGAATTATCGGGCATGAATTATTGGGCGTGTTGGAAACGTTTGCAAGTGACAGTGTGGAGAAGACTTCCACGGACGACGACGACGAAGACGAAGACTTGGAATTGAAGGCTTTAATTTCATTGGTTGTATGTACAAATTAATCCTATCCATTCATTATACGTGTTATAATAAAATGAAAACTACAAGGGAAGATATTTTTATAAAAAAACTATATACGTTCTGTGATAATGTGATATATACAAAATTAGCCATGACCGACCAATCTTTACTCGAATGATTGTGCAAAAAAAAAGTTACGCATCCAGTTAGGACTTTTCTTACACCTACTTTCATGTGGAATTCAAATTAATAATGTGAATTGCATGCCCATAAGAAAAGATGTGGTTTAAATAACGGGTTACTTAATTACATGAACCCCCTATGCAGTAGACAATCATCATAGGGGTTTGATGTCAAAAAAAAAATTAATGGGGGTTTATCGCAACTCCCTAAAGATCATGGGGGTTTTCTGTAACTAACCCTTCAATAACGTTAGGTGCATGATTTGTATTTGTAGAACTATACCCAATATTGCTACACCTATGTAGTTATCTGAGATAATTTAGCACATAACTAGGAGCTACAAATTAATAATGTGACAAATTAAGAGCGGATCTCTAGGCAGATAGAGAAGGAAGGGCCAATACTATTCATTGAAATGAATGGTAATACTATTTGTTTTTGGAGTTTTGGAAAGTAAGGCGATGTTAGTTAATGTGGTGTGTATGCCTCATTCAGATTATTTTGGGTGGGGAGTGGGTGGGGAGTGGGTGGCTGGGGGAGGTGGGGTGCGGGCTCCAAGTCAATAGTCCAACTGTATTGTATAAATTGAGTGGCTAAGATTAAGTTAATGATATGGTTGGTTGAAGGATACCTAGTAAAATGCTTGTTTTTCCAATATAATTTAATGGATGCACTGACATTAGTTCTACAAACAATACATGTATACGGAATGTATAGGACATTTAGGGTCTATTCAGTTTGCGATAAAAAGTTTGCACCAAATGTTGTGTATAGCATTAAATGAAGAAAATCAATTTCGATTTTGCTGTTTGAATACTTGCAATTATATTATAAATTCAGTGTTTCATTAACAAACAATTAGAAATTTGTATTCTCCATTACAAAAAAACGGTGGACAGTCCACTACATTTAATTGCAATACTTGATTGACTAATGGGGTTTTAGACGATTAAAATATACTCTCTCTTGAACCAATGCTCAGTTCGAGTCCAAGAAGTGAATACCCATAGGCTAAACATTTCAGATGGGCTCAAGCATCTATTGAGATTGCTCAGGATGAGATCTTGATTGAACTTCATTAAAGTATGTCCAAATAAAGATAGTGAAGCAGAATTTAAGGAAAAAAGTGTTATGAGGACATAATTTATGTAAGGGCATTTTTTATGAGCATCCGATACCCTGCCTCATACATTAATGTTGCGGCAGATGATCAAGCTAGAGAAACATTCATTTCAATTTAAATTTATAGGCATATGACTTTTCTATTAAAATTTTATAATAACATAAAGAAAAGTGATGAATATTATGATAATATAATAGGATAATTATATGTATTTTCATAAAACTATTTGATAACTAGATCAAGATTAGTGTTGATAAGTTGACGAGAAACTCGAAATGGACCAGGCAACGTGCCACCTATAAATCCATACAGAGATTTTGCACAACTTAGTAACTTATCCTAAAGTTATCATGTAGGCTATTGGTCTTTACTGTATTTGGGCAGAACATAATTTAAGGGTAAATTACACTAAAACTACAAGAACTTCTAGCATTTTTTACTAAACCCGGAAAAACTCCTAAAATCACAGTTCCAACTGCTATTAGAATTGAAAATAATAATAACAATAGGTTTTCACATTTTGCAGATAACCCACATGATAGTGTAAGTCCACATTTCGTGTTACCGACACATGTTAGATCCTAAATAACGCCTTCATATAGGTTACCTCTAAAATGCGAAAAATTTCCTAGGGGTTCCTGCAATTCCAATCATTATTGGGGGTTTAGTGCGATTTTAGAAGTTTTTTGGGATTTACTAGAAAAGGCTAAAAGTTCTTGGGCGTTTAGTATAACTTACTCATAGTTTAACAAACCCTTATAAAGTAGTAACATATTGTAGCTTGTTGGGCTTTAACCTATTTGAACAAAACTTATGAAATTGCAACTATTAAAGCCTAATTAATCACTTGAAACCTTTATTCCCCACAACAAATGAATACAAAATTTATCATAACTTTCCCTATATGAGTTGGTGTTCTACAAACTGCCTCCTATCCTCCACATTATTCAGAAAAAACTGTGTTTTTCTTCAGTTACAGAAGCGGGGAAAACAGAAGATTCCTCTTAAATAAACTATTTAAATTCCAAACTCCCTATGAATAAAATAAAACGGAGGGTTGTTCTTAAATTTCTACACAATGGAGAGGTCCATATTTCTTACCCTCATTTCCCTTCTCTTCTTAATCAAAATTTCCTCCTCAGCGTCGACTTAATGTTGATGTTTTATGCTACAAACTCAAGAAACAAAACATCTCTAACTCTAATTGCCTAGACTTCTTCCTGCGGGATTCACATGTTCAGCACGTGAATCTTCAAGAGCTCGCAGTCATCGCCATCGATATCATCACAAAGATAAAATTGGCATTATATAAGAATAATATTAGATTTTGGTGACTTATTTAAAAGAAAGTTAGCACTGAGCGAATCATTATAAGAAAAAAATTTAGTTAAAATAACTACACAATAATATTTTATCCGTTCATTTTTTAAAGCAATCTGGTTATAAATTTTACGTATTAACACAGTTTAATTATTCAATAAAAATTTTAAAATTTAAAATATGTACGCTCACATGCAAAGCACGTGCATTATACTAGTGACTATAAAACAAAATAAAAGAAAGGGACTGCACTTTTCTGTACTCTTTAATCAATTTAGATTCTTCAATATCGATATCATCTCTGCGAATGCGACAGTTGTTCAAGAAAAAAATGAAACAAATCCAGTTGCCAACCCTCTGGAATTACGTTCAAAAGTTTACTCAGATGGAGCATGAATGTCAGAGCAAGACGGAGAGCAAAATTTTCATATTAACAGGACTATATTTTTCCATGTATCAGTATACAACCAATATTATTCACATACCGAAGAAGAATAAATATTTCTAGCCGTGTTAGCTTGATATACAAGAATTGTAAAATCGGATAACTCTATGTCATCTCTGAGCCTACTGTAAAGAAAAAATTTCTGATGGTATCTTCTATCCTAGTTAGTAATAGTACACTCAGTGACGATGGTTCCTCTTTCAGTCCCAATGAACTCCAGCATTAACCATCCTCTGCAGCTCTTAAGATTTCTATCCATAAATAGTTCTTGAGTCGTGGATAATGGTTTCCCTTAATTTACATGATTGAGACGAATATCAGTTTCAAAATTTTATCAAAGAATTAGGCGAGAGATGCTGTCTCGTGATCAAGAGAGATGGAAAGCCCCTTGTCCCTCCATAATTGCATATAACAGTTTCTCCTTCATTCGCTCCTGTATATGTCCCAATTTACACAAATAAGTATCAGTGCAAGTCCATATTATTAACTGATCATCATATAGGGAAATAATAGATACAAAATTAATATTCTAAGGAGTCTTTACTATTATAACTCCAGAGTTTTAAAGTATGTGCTTGTCATGTCAGAATCATATGTAGAAAATGAAAAGGATACTATAAAGCCATCGTTCATGGAGCCTTTTGAATACTAATCTAGTGATACCCTTTCTCCATGTACAACATCGAAAATTAAATTTCCATTCAAGTTCTGAACTACTCTATAATTTACTTATCAGTTACATGTGCATTTAAGTGCAGCTTAAAATCCAATAGTACTCTTCCAGAGGATAGCTGTTGCACAAAGGGAAGAATCCTTGAAGAAACTTCCATTAAATGATTTACCTAATGGTAGTTGTTGTAAATTAGGGGAACTTTAGGGGTGTAAAGAAATGCCCTTGAATACCAAATATTCTAAAGGTCAACTACTGGAGTATCACGCGAAATATTTAGAAACTTTAGGGTATTTAAGTGAAGGGTTCTACAACTGAGGGTACTTATGTGTAACATTGGGTAAACAAAGGGTATTTAAGTGTAATTTACCATTTAGCAACGGATAGATTTTCATGCACCAACTGTCCAGTGGATACGAACTACTTGATAGTTTCCTGGTTGTGTAATATGATTAACACAACCCGTAAATGATGCACTTGAAGGGGATGAGTGAAGGCATGATATGTTATCTTATACCTTGGAAGAGTAAGGAGGGAGCTTTAGATAGTTAGCACAGGTCATCACACTTGGCAGTTCCATATCAGCATCATTATCACAGTGCTGTTAAGAGAGAAAAAAAATCAAACAATGTCAGGAACTAAGATACAAAAAGTGTTGTCTCCAAAGTTTTCAATTGTATTACAGTGAAGAAGAATATTATACCTTGCAGACAATGGTCAATTTAGGTCTAAGAGCAGCTAAGCCTCCTGGAGGCAGCCGAGGAGCTCCAGTCACAAACAACAGGAAAGCTCTTCGTTGTCGAACTTCAAACTCTTGAATAACTTCTAGGAACTGCAGAATGCAATTAGTCTCTTTTGTTAGGATTCTCATTAATGTAAAAAAAGTAACGGAGTAAGAAAAGAACACTGTAAAAGCTAACCATTATTGCAGTGGGACTAGTTGATGAGTAACCATGGTCGAATTTGATGTGATCTTGGAATTCATTATTCTGCATGGTGAAGTATTATTTAACAACTGTTTGAAAAGTTCAAAATTCATCTATAAATTCATATCAGAAGAAAGGAGAAGTACATACATCCCAAGTATCTTGTTCCCCAGAAACTATTTGCTCAAGCTCTTGTGCCGTAAAAATTTGAAGAGCTTTTATGGGAAATACCTGCACGAACAAGAAAAGTGGATAAAAATGTAAATTTTGAGGAAATAGAAACTGGAGAGGATCAACCAGTATATTAACTACTAAATGCAATATGATGAATGCATTTGATAAAATTGCAGGTAAGTTATTACTGTTTGAAGTACTAATCAAATAATTCGTAAACCAAAATTCAGTCATCAAACTTTGCAAGAAAAGTTTGTAAAGTAATGAATACTAGAAAATATCATGGTCACAATTATTAAAAAATGTTCAAGTTCTTAAACTGCACAAACAAGTTTCAATTAATGGCATTTGTTTAAATATAATATGCCTCGAAGTCTGAGCTTCACAAATTAGGTAAATATTTTTTTATGAAATTTCTTAGAAAATGTTGTTCAAATTTTGACAGATCAACAACACGCAGAAGCCTCCACTTGAGAAACATTGATATTGATAGGTTACAAAAAAACAACAGATAACTAACAATCATAAACCTCCAAAATGAGAAATATTGATGTTAATACCTAACTGCAACGAAATAATGAAGTGGGAGCTATGTTGCCTAGGTACGGGTACGGGTGCGGGTACGGGTACGGGTGCGGGTACGGGACACGGCAAATTTGTAAAAAATAGGGTACGGGGACACGGCTATATATATATATAATAATTCACTTTAGATCAATATTCCAAAAGTTAAAACTATATTCCTTGCATAGGAAATAGAGTAGAAAGCTATTTTTACTTTAATTAAAAATTTAGAACTAATATTATTACCTAGATCTAAGTTGCATGGAAACTGGTACTGGTACGGGTGCGGGTACCACCATACGGGTAGGGGACACGACAAAACTGTAAAATGTTGGGTACGGGTTCAAACTACATATATATATTGAATTAATAATGTACATGAGATAATTTTTTTCTGCTTCATGTGTCATTAGAATTAAAATTTCGATCACATTTTTGAGTTTATTTTATCATATTGACTATCGTGAATTGTAAACTACTCATTTTTTACTAGACATCTAAACAACCCATTAACTATATAGTTTTGAACTTGGGTATGGACTGAAACGAACCCGACCCGTATCCCATTAGTTTCAAAAGACGGATTTGAAGTGTAAGCTCTACGTCCAGGAAGTCTATGACAAGTGTTTTAAATTAACACATATATCATATAATTGAGTACATGTTGTGATAAATGTATGCATATATTCAAGAAGTGTCCATGAAGTTTGGGTACGGGAAAGTGTCGGGTACGTGTCCGGTACGGGTACGGCTTCAATAATGAAGTACCCGGGTAACATAGAGTGGGAGGCTTATAAAAATTTAAAGGAAGAAATAAATTATGGGCATATGAATGTTTACAGTCTCATCAACTATGGGGAACAAATTCTGAATCCTTGATAACTATATTAAAGTGAGATTCATGGGAGTTATACAAAGTGAATTCTGCTTATGCATTGTGCTATAAAAATTAAATGGTACAGATTGACAAACTTAAGCAGGAAAACTCAATCATTACTTTTTTAGGGAGCACTAACACAGCATGCTATCCGGTGTCAAAAAAAAGAACATAAATATCAGGTATCCCAAGTCATTACTAGTTTCTCATACCTACCTCACTGCATAAGAAAAATTAGCTAACCATCTACTCCTTTGTACTGCTAGTATATATTTTCGTTGAAACATAAGTAAATGAAAATTGCAAAAAATATGTTGGAATGCAACATTATACATATTCTTTTGATGATTTTCAACATGGATATCAACGTCTTCAATGTCCAAGATGTAGGAAAGCAAAAACATGCAAATGACAAATGTAATGGTAAAGTTACTATCTGTGCACAGTATTGAAACTATTATACATTTCATTAAGCGGCACAAAGAATTATAGTTACACTAACCTCATTAAATCCTGATTTAAAAGATTCCAACTGTCTGGAAATTCCGCTTCCCACAGTAGCATCAACAACCAATGAAATATACTCGCCCAGATTGCTCATATTTACCTAGAGTGAAATAGAAGGTGATTTATATAATCTCCTCCCAAAGCTAATAAAATAAATAATCTGCAAAAAATTAAGAATATCAATTACCATTTTTGAGTCACTTGAGCCAAAGGCGTAATCTGGATAGCCTGGAAGAGCAAAGTCCAGACAGAGATCCTCTATTCTTGCATTCCGAAAAGATAGAGCACTCCCGTCTTCTGAAAGTTCTCCACTTTCTAAAAAGGCTTTTCTTTTAACCAGAGCTTGAAACTCTATCAAGGTCCTCCCAAGCTCAGGATCAAATGACTGAATATCATAAATATCAAGATCCTGAAAACAATAAACTACAGTCAAAATATAGGTAATAGGTTATATAATTGATTTTAAAGTGAAGTTTGAAGAGGTGAACCTTTTCAAGTACAAGCTTATAAAATGCTCTGGAAAATGTAAAATCCAGAATCCTCCCATCTTGAATTGCTCTTGCTACAAGCTGCCCGAGAAGAAAAAAATTCTTGAGGACTTTGGAGAAACTGACACCATTCAAGGACTCTACACGAATGGACCACGGGCGAGGAAACAATCCAGAATGAGCTCTAACAAAACTAGAGTCACTAACTACCATGCTTTTTCTTGAATGAAGTTTAGTACCAGAAGAAGTATGATCTCCTCTCCACATACCCATACCAACTTTCTGCAGTTCATGACTAACTAAGGTATAAAACTCGAGGGTAGGACCAAGGCCTGTACCAACTTCATTATTAAACACTATTTCAAGCAAAACCTTCTTACTAGCATACCAATTCATCATTTTCACAGCAGAACCGAGAATATTGTCACGATGAACTTTGAACTTCTTGCGGCGTAATGAGGTTGAAAGTGACCTTCTATCATTTATATTACTGATTTCGTTCTTCTCAGAATTCTGCATATGGTTTCTTGAAATGCCTAATGTATTCAGGAAGAAGTACTTCCATCTTGCTTCAAGAGAAAACAAGAAAGGGAATGAAACCATTATCTGTGTACACCACAATGGCATGGTTGTAGTGGATAACACCAAATGATCATGCATCTGCTGCTCCAGCTTGGAATTTAGTTTACTGCTTATGAACTCAGTCTGCGGAAGTGATGGTGCTATCACCTTGAGATCATCAGCATTGTTTAGCCTCCCTTCAGCAAAAGCATTGCTCTTCTCATTTGAGCTTAGTTGAAATGAAAAACCATTTATGCCTTCCAAAATTTTCAGTATATATAGGATATCATAGGCAGGATTTGACCTCTCCAGCTTACAAGGCAGCTCAGACAGCAGCATACTGGAGAAGAATGAGAGGTTCTGCCTACACAATCCCGCTGTATCACAAGAAAGAGATGACTGGGAAGTGTCAGCAAAAACTTGAAAAGATCCTTTTTTGAGTGGAAGTCTTAGTTGCAGCTCTTTCGCCTTTCTGAATTTTACTCCGTGCACTTCATTCCAAAATTCTCTGTTGATAATTATAGCAGGATCTTGATTGATCTTATCTTGCAGAATTGCTTGATACAAAGTTACGGAGTGGTCAAGCTGTTTCCCATCCAAAAGAAAGACTAGTTTTGGTTTAACGTCTTCATTATTCTGCAACATAGAATTTTCACCTTGTTCTTGGGAATCTACTATTTGTGCTGATTTTTCTCCGGGATGTCGAGTCTCTTGAGCGCTCTAAAATACAGAAATACCATTAATAACACAGAACAAGTTGTCCTCCTAAACCGTCACTTCAATTGACAACAACAACAATAACAACAATAACAAAAGAGCTTTTGCACCAAATTTTTGGGATCGACGACATGATCCTTTTTCTTTCAAATATTTCTTTTTAGGTTAATTTCCTCAGTTGAATACAAGTTCAGCTAAACAAGTCATTTGACTGAAGAATAACAAAGAGTGATGATGTACAAGACCCCAATTAGGAGAACAAGTTTTTCATGATTTCAGAAACCAATGGGTATTCTATAAAAGTATGAGCAAATAAGTTGTTTAAAAAGTAAGATATTTTACAGGCATATAACAAAGGCATGAAATAGGTAAAGGAATATTGAAAACCTTCTCTTCACGTTATGTCTTTTATTTATATAATTTAAAAAAAAACTATCGACAGAACTGGTCATTACAAGTGATGGATTAAGTTTAGAAATGCTAAGTTTATATGTTTCCCAAATTGCAAGGCTGAAATAAATACTTTTCTAATTTAAGACAAAGGCAAAGTTGATATAAGAGTAAATGAAGTTGAACCTTTGTGACAGACATTTTCTTCTTAACTTTAGGCCACAAGAATTCTTCAATTGTATCCCAAGATGAAGAGAAGTCAACAGTTAATACATTGTTGTAGTTGCACAATTCTGTCTCCCTTTCTTCCGTCACAAAATTTACTTGTAAGCATGGATGCACTGTGGGCTTTTCAGCTGAAATGTCAGCTCTTCTTGGTGTAGGCCTATAACCTGAACTCAAAATAATAGGAAAACTCTCTAATGAAGACAGTGCATTCTGCAAATGTCGTACTAGTGATGTCAGAGGAAACAGTTGCCAGCTTTGACCTGAAAGTAACATAGAAGTGAAAGTCTGGAATCTCTTTAGCACAGTATGATAAGCTTCTGTCTTGTTGCTATACACCCCTCTAGGAAAGTGGTCTCCATTAGTCAGATAATGAACCAAGAATCTCGGAATTCCACTTTCAATAAACTCAAACGTCGATACCGATTCCCCTTCATTAAGTACCTTTACAAGTTCACCTAACATTTGGGTCAAGTATTCTTCCTTTTCAGAGGAATTAGGTAAAGCACTATGCACATTGTTGTCAATTTCCATGCAACAAGATTTGAGCTTTCGTAAATTTTCAGAAAATACCATACTAGAGATCAAGGTTTCAGTGAAAAAGGTTGACATCAATCTTTGGGCTAAAGGAGAAAGATCACATCTCCGTTGCCTGCATGTCCTTGATTCTGATGATGAAGGAGAAGAGCATGGGTCAAATGCATAGCACAAGCATCGAGGAGGATTAGCGATTGTTTGATCATCAGTATCCCCTGTGTCGGTTTGGGACCAATTCTCTTGCTTTGAAATTACATTAATTGCATGACTAACACCCTCCTTGACAAAGGGTTTTAAAAGTTCACCAGGAAGCTCTCGCATAATAACTTCTACTATGAGAAGGGATGGAATCAGCAGATGATGATTCTTCTGAGACAATAAACTTGCCAAAAACCTGCACCATAAAGCATAAACGAGATCACACATTAGATACACTACTTCACAGATGAAAAAACAGGGACAAGTTATGAGTGTTGTTTACTTTGGAATATTTGCATTTTTTATTAATACCCGCAGGACATCAGGTGTGACAGCCAAAAAATAATTCAATATAACAGAAACAGAGCCGTAACATATACGTGTACTTGCTCCAGAATTGACTGCCTGTACAAAAGACAGAGAAGAGTACATTTAGGGGATATACAGATAGAAGTACAAATTGACAGAGAAGAGTACATTTAGGGGATATACAGATAGAAGTACAAATTGTTCTTGCAAAACATTATACCTGAATTAATGCAGGAAGAATATCCTCAGCAAACTGAAACGATAATTTAGGTTCATTGGCTATAATCTCGTTCTTGCCTGAAACAAGCTGTATATCTTTCTCATCACATGCCATAGGAGGGATAAGCTGATTAAGTAACTTTAGAGCAGCAAATATCTGCAGAACGAAAGTGATATTTATTAATGTTGATGACGCTCAAGTAAAATAAAACTGAAAAAATATCGTAGCAAGAAATGGCTTCCATAGTTCAACACATGACATGAGTTGTTTTCTAATTAGTAGACGATCATTAACTGAATAATGCCATGAATAGTTTGAGAGAAAATACGGCTATGAAGTGCCTGAATTTCAATCTAACATGGTACATGCTACTCGGAAGGGGGTTGTGTGTGTGTGTTGACAAAACAAAATTGTTAGATTTGACGTGTGTGTGTTGACAAAGAATAATTTGCTCGATTTGATTTAGATCTCCTCTTGACATCATTGTGACTAAATTGTTTACATGAAATATTGTTACATTGATATAGATTAGAAAGGGTACATCAATGTCTTCATATGCAGTTGGAGTGTCCTAAGATTGTCATGTAATTTCCCAATTCATCGGGGGGCAAAAAAGAAACAGGATGTCCAGATAAAACTCCCGAGTCCAATCCAATAAGCCTCTTTCTAGTCTATCAAACACTATGATATTAATTCAACTGCATCTTGTTGTTAACCTAGACCTAGACCCCGTGATTGATCGATCCAGTGACAGACTGAGAAGGTTGTGAATCAAAAAGTACATAAATAAATAATAAATAAATAGAAAGGAGAGTCAACCTGATCTCTGGAGTCGTCTTCAGAATGTGAGTTATGGGCACTGTGAGAAAGATGGGGACGTCTGAGGAGATTTCCCAGAATGCTGTTTATATTCAATTCATAAAGAATACTTACTGCCAAAAGGGAACTGTTGGCTAGCCGAGCAAGAAGCTCAATCATGCCCTACAAGAAAATTAAATTACCCTATTAACAAGCCAAAAACAATAAAAACAGAAATAAAAGGAACTTGAATATAGGTAGCAGCATTCAACAAAGAAAAGTACTTACAATATTAGTTCTTTCGCTGAGTGCCACCGTACTACATGGAGAAATCAATTTCACAGATTGTTTTACCACCCCATGCTTACAAAGCTCATCTAGAAGATCAGAAGAATGACTAAAATTTTCCACTATCTTCATCAAGCTTGTAGCAGCGGATTCAACAAGCTATTTATTGTCAAATGAAACAAAATAGTCTTAACCCTTCACTGCTCTAAAAATCTAGATCACATAAGCAAATCCAGAGCTAAGAGACAAGTAATTGATACCTTTTGGTCCTGGTAATCTAGAAGCTTACACAGAGTAGGAACAGCATCCATGACAGTTGAAAGGCAATCCTCGGGGACTTTTCTACACGCATTCATAGCAATGGAAATTGCAACTCTCTGATGTAAAATCAATAAATAATTAGTGAAAACAATGAGTAGAAGCATTTACAAGATTGCAAAACACATGTTCCCAACCAAAAATTATGATAAACACTAGCTTTATGTGGGCAACATAAAACGGGCGCATATGCCAAAATTTCACATACATGCATTCAGATATGTGTATATATGTATAAAGTTTAAACACATTTTCTTTTAAAAGAATAATACTTATTTTTCGTTTATATTCTAAAATACTCTAACATTTACTTTTTTGGAAAAATGAAGTGGAAGTGCGTAACTAAAATCATTATGTAATGAAACTACCTGCATAAACATATTCTACTCAGGAATTTGATACTTTATTATCAGATAACTACTTCTACACGCATAACTTCCCCTCAATAAGGGGCTGATTGCTACAGTAACCGATTTTCTGTTTGCATGTGGCGGCAAGAACCAATAAGGAATAACAGATTTTCTTTCCTTTGAGGAAAAGGAACATGGTAGAATAATTATAAAAGCATAAATCTGAATCTATTAAGAAATACTTTGTCTAATTAAAGTTAGAAAGAATTGTGCAAAGCAGAGCCCTTACTTGCACCCTTATGTCAAAGAAATCAATGAATCTCAGCACCGTCTGAATCACCCCAGCCTTCAAACATGGTACCGTCTGCCTCCTTGATAACTTCTCCAACGCCACCAGACACTGAAATCACATATATCAAATCTCTACATCAGAAAATTCATTTTTAAACCGACCCACTTCCAAAATCTTCCTTAAACCCAAACTACCATACTGAATCAAAAGAGTACAACTTTAAGTTTATAATAAAAAAACCCCCAAAAAAACTTTTTACCAAAATCAACCCAAATCAATCACCTGCTCGGCCACATCAAGGTACTCGATCTCCATCAGCGGCCCGCAAAGGACCGCGATCGCCCCCTTCTTCGCAAGAACCTTCGCTGCCCTCGGAACCAAATCAAGCAAGTAAGTAAAAACCCTAACCACCAACGACATAGCATCGGGGCTCACGCCTTTTCCCGCCAATTCGATGAGTACGGGGACGACCTCCTTCAGAGGGAACTGAGCCAGGTCATCCTCGTACTGCGTGAAAGCTAGGGCATCACACAAAGCGGTGAGATTCGCGATCAATTCGCTCGGATCATCGGAGGATTTGAGGACTTCGATCATCGACGGGAGGAAACCGAAGACGTCGCTGTCCGAGTCTTCGTCGGTGGCGCTATCCATGGCGCGCTAGGATTTTGAAGGACCGAGGAAATTTTAGGGTTTTTGATTTTGAGGAGGGATTTTGAAAGCGGAGAGCTTGGATGGGTATTTATAGAGAGCGGAGAGTTCGTTGAGATGCGGTATTAACTGGATTGAACCGGGTTTGTTTAAACTAAACCGGGTCGGGTTGGGATCACGATTAAGCCGGATCTTAGTTGGGATTTTCGTGAAACTTGAGATGCAAGTTTCGGAGGATTGAGTTTTTTTTTTTTTTTGGCTGTAGGAGGAATGTGGATATGAAGGAGATTTTCAGGGTACTTTTAAACAATTGTGACATTATAAAAAGTGAGAATTTCCTTAAAAACAATGTTTTATCGTGACAAGAATTGTTTAGGAATATTCTTTTAAGAGTAAGGGGATACTTGGGGTCCTGCGTTGCAATTGTCAAGAATTAAATAATTCTTTCAAATCCAAATTTTCTTTTTTTTTATTTTTTTATTTTTTTGCTTGGTCGACTGGGAAATCTAAGGGGCTGTTTGGATTGATTTTTTAGATAGGTAAAAGGGGGGAAGCTACCAAAAATATCAGTTTTTTGGCAGCTTTCCCCCAAAATCACTTTTTATAGAGGTGATTTTGGGGGAAAGCTGCCAAAAAGCTGACATTTTTGACAGCTTTCCCCTCTTTTACCTATCCAAAAAATCAATCCAAACAGCCCCTAATAGAGCGTTGGATGTGGAACCCCTATAAATCTGACATTTATGATGTAGGAATTTGTTGACATAACGTTTTTTTAGCATCAAGTTTTCTATTAAGGGGCTGTTTGGTTCGTTTTTTAACTCAGTGGAAAAGTTTTACACCGCCTCCACATCAGATTTTTCGTGGCCACGTAGGATATAAGCTTTTTGTCGGTTTTTTTTCCATCTTCGGTTCGCTAGGGTTGAAGAAGGGAAACTCGATAAAAATCGCCGCCACATCAGATTTTTTTCTCTCCCCCAATTCCTTGCTCAACCTCATGAAATTGACGAAAACCGCAGCCACGTCAGCTTTTTGCCATATAAACAAAAGTTTTTCATTTTTTCCATGCGAACCAAACACAAGAAAAATAAATACATTGGTTTCCCACCATTTTTTTTGTGTGAAACAATATATTTCTTGGAAAAGTTTGGAAAACTCAAAACTTGTGTTTTTATACATGGAAATGCATTTCCCTATATCTAGGAAACGAACCAAACAGCCCCTTAGAATATTTTTGGAGCATTTATATATTCTGGGTAGGGGTGGAAATGAACCAAATAATTAATAAATGGTTCGATAATTGTTTGAATAACTATTCGGTCATATTCGATTCGATAGTTCATTTATCACTAAACAAATATTTTTTAGTATTCGAGTTTATTAACGAATAGAATTTAACCAGATGTATATTCGATTCGTTTGTCTATTAAATATTCGTTTAAAATTTGATCACAGTTTATTATTTGTATTATTGCACATATGATGTCATATTTTTAACCCACTTACCATTTCTACTTAAGTTTTATATATAGATTTTAAGACTTAAATAATCTTAAATCTGTTTTCTAATTAAAATTTTGATTTAAATATATATACATCATATATTATAAAGAAATAATTTTAATTTATAAATTTTAATACTATTTGAAAATTAAACTCTTTAGCGAAATAAATATACTTTGATATTCGATAAGTATTCGTGAATATTCATGAATATTTATCAAATACCAAGTATTCGAGTTCAAATTCGAAAAACTAGATATATGAATAATAGAGTCCGCATTCGAATTCGATAATTTTAAACAAATACAAATATGAACAACTTAGTATTCGATTCGATTCGATCATTTACCACCCTTAATTCTGGGTTGTCTAAAATTAGCACTTTAGTACCTTTTGTTATGCAAACGTGAAAATTTCCATCCAAAAGTTCTCCTATAACATTGAGATGCTCATTTCATAATTTACAACTATTAAATATGATGAAGTTACTGTTCATTTTATTCAAAATTTATTTTTCAAATAGAATCAGAGTATGTCTAAATTAGGAATTAGAAAGGATTAACAGTAAATTTAACAAATATTAGTGACTAAAAAACTCTAAAATTAATATGTGAATGTTATATGGAAACTTTAAATTTTTATGTTTGCGTAGCAGAGGGTGCTAAAGTATTACTTTTAAACAACCCATGGTGTATAAATGCTCCAAAAAACAACTGAGGATATATAAGTGCTAAATGAATGAAACAAACGGCATTTTAGAACAACTAAGTATGATGTACGTGATTTGCACGTGAACGCACATGTTTTAAGTTTTGATTTTTTTTATTAAATAATTAAACTATATGTTAATAAATAAAACCGTATAATAAGATTGCTAAAAAAGAAATGTATGAATTAATTATTAATAGGTAGTTATTGTAATTAAATATTTTTCTTATAATGATTCGCCCGGTGCCAACCTTTTTTAAATAAGTCCTCAAATCTAATATCATTCTTAAATAATGCCAATTTTAGTTAAATTGATTCTAAATTAACTAAGCTGCATTAATCTTGCTAGTTTTTTCCTGATGTTCCCTACATAGTTGTACTTAATAAGTTCGTTACCATGTGTTTTTTGGGTAAATTACTTGTTCACCATGTTGTTGTTGTTTTTTTTTTTTTGGCTAAATTGGGCAAAGAACGTGCGCAACATTAGAAAAAAGAAAGTAATGTATGCACGGAAAGACGCTTTTATTTGAGACCATCATGAAAATAGGTGTGAATCAAAAGTCTAAAAACCTATTTATCGTTGATTTTTGAGTCCAGCACAGGAGATAGTCTACCCGTACCGACAAAATTACATAACAAGTTCTGATCTGGGACACATTACTAAATTAGTTTATTTTAAGGCTTCCTTACCTGATTTGGTATTTAAAAGTTTTTTCAATGACTTTTCGGTGTTAAAAGTCAACCAAAAATACACTCAGATCTATTTTTTTTTTCCGCTGTCATTCAAATTTCATGCGCGTATAAGGGCTAAAATACCAAATTTTTATTTTTATACGAACTTGTTTGTCTGTTTGGTATGTTTAAAAACTTCCGTGACAGCAAGATATTTATTCTCGGTTTTTTAGTCAATAAGATCATTTTCTCAAAATTCCGGCAAGAAAATTTATTTTAACCCCCCTTACCTTCCAAAATTATTAAATATGTGCCCAAAACTATCAAAAAAAAATGATCTTGTTTGTCTGTAATGGGGTTAAAACAAATTTTCTTGTCGGGATTTTGAGAAAATGATCTTATTGACTAAAAGATCGAGAATAAATGTTTTGTTGTCATCGGAGTTTTTAAATATACCAAACTGACAAACAAGTTCGTATAAAAATACCAATTTGGTATTTTAGCCCGTGTATAAGTATCACATGAGCTCACATTATGTGATTTTAGGAATGTTAGAAGGCTAAGTTGGCTTTTTTAAGATGACGTGAAAGAGTTTTAGATGACAAATCAAAGACTTAGATGATATTAAAACTAATCCTAAAATAGTCACGTCATCTAAAATCAACCACCTCGCTCTTCAAACACCTCTAAAATTACATCACACGATGTCATGTGCTACTTATAGGCACAAAGTTCAACCTGAAAGGAATAACTAGGTCTAAGTGTACTTTTTGTTGACTTTAGATCCAAAAAATTGGCAGAGAAACTTATAGTAAAAAAAACCCATTAAGGGGGGTTATAAAAAAATATCAATTTGATAATTTAGCTTTTTTTGGATTTGTCTGGGACTCCAGAGCGAGCCCTTGTTAAGTTGCATGAGGTTTAATTACACTAATGTTAGGAAGATTGGTACTTTAATTTATTAGAATTAAAATACGTGAAGGATACAGTCTCTTATATCCATAGAATTTATAGCTTAAATTCAAGTTTGATAGGTTTTCTTACCAATGGGAAATTTAATGCACTGACTTAAACTTAATTAGTCAATTCTTGTCCATTAGCAAGTTACAAGTGAACTTACTTTTCAAAGAGATTTTTATAATTGACTTGCTGCCGTGGTACGGTGTGAGCGAGGTTTCCAAAACTTTTACTAAATTCATCAAATTTCAACTAAAAAAGGAGGAATTGACTTTGAGCTATGAGGTTATTATAGAAAAATTATATAAAATGATGATGCTGATAATAATGAT